TCTGGGAGGTTTGGGGGAGGAAACTGTGGCTACTTTTACTTCTGAGGCCGCCCTGGGCTGTGCTGAGCTCCTGGGGAAGCTGCAACCCGGTGACGCACAAGGGATGGACTCTGCTGGTCGATGAGGAGCTGCATCACTTCCCAGATCCCTGGGGAACCTCCTGTGTGTGCTGTGTGACTGCATTCCCCAGCCCTATCCCTGTCAGTAAAGTCCTGTTGCATTCAAACTCAGTCTCTGGGGTTTTTCTCCTTGTAACTCGTGTTTTGAAGGGATATTCTTTTGTGTAATTCAGCAACTGGGAAAGATTGGAGGGTGCTGGTGGAGATTCAGGCCCCTTTATTACATTGCAACACTGGGTTTGAGTGGGGGACAATATATTTTGCACCACATCCTTCTAAGTAGTCAACACTAAACAGTATGATTTCCCACTAGTGTCACCTGGCAAGGAGTCAAATGGGTAAATCATCTGATGCCTTCCTAGAAGCATGACCTGTTGTCAGCCACGTTCCTCTCCACACCAGGAACCTACAGGATCAGTCTGAGCTGTAACATCATAGTTCTGCCACCTGAAGGCCCCTGGTTTTCAGATTTTTCTGGATGAAACACCGAATATTTCAGGTTGTGTGCACTTGGCTCGGTGCTCCCTCTGCCTCTTAATTGGCACCAAGACACTTTTCCCCGTGCCCCAACCTGACTCAACCCTCTGAATGTGGTTGGACAGCTCTGCTGAGTAACGTGGAAGTGTCTGTGTGAGACCTGAATGGGAAGATGGGAACAGAGAAAAGCAGAGAGACAAAGATAACAAATGTATGTTTGTGATTATTTACCATTTTCTTGTGATTTTTTCGGAGGACAACAAGTATCTTTTATTCCAACTTTGGGATTTTCACCCATAAAAAATGCACTTTACAGACCCTTCCCCTTGTCATTCCCCTAACCCTAACCCCCCTCCCCAGCCCTGGGGAGGACGTGGAGCTGCTGGAGCCACTCCAGAGGAGCTGAGCAGGGGGATGGAGCAGCTCTGATCCAACAGAAAGGCTGGGAGAGTTTGGGATTGTTCAGCCTGGAAAAGAGAAGCTTTTGAGGTGACCTGATTGGGGCCTGCCAGGACCTGAAGGGGCTACAAGGAATGTGGGGAGAGACTCTGGAGAAGGGATGGAGGGACAGGATGAGGGGGTGGGTTCAGACTGACAGAGAGGAGGTTTGGGTGGGTATTGGGAAGGAATTCCTGGCTGTGAGGGTGGGGAGGGCCTGGCACAGCTTGCCCAGAGAAGCTGTGGCTGCTCCATCCCTGGAAGTGTCCAAGGTCAGTTTGGAGCGACCTGGGCTAGTGGGAGGTGTCCCTGCCCATGGCAGGGGGTGAAAAGAGATGATCTTTAAGGTCCCTTCAAACCCATTCCACTTTTCCACGATTTTATTCAAATCCCCTCTCAGTGGCACATCTCCCCCTCCCTGCACAGCTCCACGAGTAGCTCTGGTTGGGTGGCAGGTCTGGTTGACCCCCTGACCTTGGGACCTTCCACCCAAACAAACTGTTCCTGGACACCCTGAACACTTTCTGGGGGCCATTTCCCTCCTTTCTGCACATGCACCACATATTTCTGTGCTATGAACTTTGTTCCCACCTCCTGGATCCTTCCTGATTTCGGGGGGGGGGGGATCATCTGGGCAGAAAGCACTTTTTATTGCAAGTATTCTGAGGAAATGCTTTCGGATGGTTTTGCAAACACCCAGTAATATTTTATATATGCAAAGTGTTGTGGCGCTCTCATGTTTAATAACAGGCTGCTGGGATTAAAACTCCCCAGGATTGAATCATAGCGTCGCTGGAACATAAATGTGTCAGGGCCACCCACGTGATTCCGTGAGTCAGGGTGTGATAAACACCTTGGGAATTGGGATCCCCTTTTGGTTCTGAGGATTACAAGCCGGCCCTGTGCTTGTTATCCTAATGATATTATTGAAATCAGGCTGGCCAAGTATTCACCTCTCCAAATCAGGGCATATTTGGGGGTTTAAATGGGATTGTGCTTCCCTCTCACCTGAGGGAGCTGAGCTCCAAACACGCTGCAGGTCAAGTTGGGCCAAGACTGGGGGCTGTAACTCTCAGCCCTTCTGCATCTGAAGTTGCCCTGAGAAACCCTAAATCGATCAGTTGTTCCTCTTTTCCCTGGTTTTCCGTGTGTTAAACAGGGAATGAGCAGCTCTGGCGGCTTTGCTTCCTCCCCCCCTGAGTTTCCCACACTCTTCCTCACACTCACAACGTGCCTTTCTGGTGCCAGCTGTGACCAAAACCACCGTGAACTTGGGCTGGGGATGGAGTGATTTATCCCATACCAGGATCCCTCTGACCATCCCACTTTGACCAAAATGAGCTTTCTCCTCTTGTGTTTCTTCCTGGGAATGACCGGGA